ACATAAACCTCAAAATACAAATAAAAAGGTTGTGCATTTAACTGACACACATCACATACTTTGCAGGCATTTGTATACATTCTTGAACACATTAAACATTTGCAGTTAACTATCAATATTAATGAACAAATTTAAATAATGAGCTACTTAAATAGCCAGGGCTACAATTATATAATATTGCAATAACAAATTGACTAATGCTCATAGCCTTAAATTTAGGTTGGCTGGTACATCGCTGATAGGAGTACTGTGTCATTTTGAGTGAAATAGAATAATCAGTTTGCTTGGAGCTAAGTGTTTGATGTTCTGATGAGCATTGGTTCTCAGTCATTCCTCAGTTTCTTTTATTACTTGAGAAATTCATCTAAATTTCTTATCTTTAGTCTAATAAGCTTCGTACCAAGACACTTAAAAACACCTTGAATCCTGTTTGGAATGAAACCCTGGTCTACCATGGCATCACAGATGAAGAAATGTCACGCAAAACCCTGCGGTATGAACGACTTTTACATACTTTAACACTGATTTGCTACTTATATCAAAATAAAGGCTTTCATGGAGTGCATCGTTTGTTGTTTGCAGGCTTTCGGTGAGTGACGAGGACAAGTTTGGACACAATGAATTCATAGGAGAGACACGAGTGGCTCTCAAGAAACTGAAATTTAATGAGAAGAAGAACTTCAGTGTTTGTTTGGAGAGAGTGATCCCAGTAAGTCTGAGGGCAAAACCGACAATATGATGATGCTGAAATGACATGTGAGCCAAAAGCTAAGGGTTTAACCTGCTCTAAATATTTGCTTAATAAGTCACACAGTTAGCTACTGTTTTTCTGTAAGTTTAACTCAGCACTGGCAGATGAACTCACAGCACAGCTCAAGTACATGAGATGCAAAAATGAGTACAGATCACAGGAGATGCCAGTGTTTTTAAACTGTGAGTCACACATTATCTGAAATGAAGGTTACACATTGTTTTGTATTTTCGTGCAAAACAGTATCTTAGAGGATGACAAAGCAGTTCAGAACATCTTATCTTGTTCTTTCCTTAGACATTTTAGTAAAGCACTAGTAACTTGCTGCTTCCAAAGGCATTAAGTACTTTTGCAATCGAGTGAAATCTTCACATTTTCCACTTGGTGTAGGTACGTGGTCAGTCTGGGCCACAAGATTACTCATTACAGTGTAAGTGGTTACCTCAGGGACACCACGGGGACACAGCTCTGGCTATAGCTGCATAAGTCCCATTTTGCTTCGGTTTAAACTTGCTTAAGGGACAACAAATGAAAAGAAATCTAATTTAAGGGGTGAGCGAGTTAAAACAGCTTGTTTCAGATAGTGAATGAACTGAGAGCTTGCACCAAGGCTCAGTATAAAACAAATGAGAATCTTTTAAAACCACAAATCACCCAAAACTGTCAGGGTGTGTGGATGCTAGGAAATGAGGACCCAAACGCTGGACTCACAGGTAGGTGAAGGCTGGTGCTTATTATGACGAGCAGGTGAGCTGAACATAAGATGGCTGGCTGAACTGAAATGACTGGCTGAACTGAACACACGTACAGAGTAGACAACATTAACATCAATGAGACGACAAAGACCAGGATGAAACTGAGGACTTAAGTACACTGGCTAATGATGATGATTAGGGTCCGGTGAGAACAGGGCTGGCACGATGTGGGAAAAGTGGGAAATATGAATGTGGAACATAAACTGAACATGAACTGAATACAGCTGGTGAACCACCCAGGAACCCTGACAAAAACGACTTTGGTGGCCAAGAATACATCTAATGTATTAGTTCCCTTTTAAAAACACTAGCATAAATGGAATTCTCGGTATGTACAATTTCGTGATAGGTCTGTCTGCTGATCCTCTAGTAGGATTAACCACCAGAGCAGCTGTTTAACAGTTATTATTTATAGTGCTCATATAATAACATTTTATTCCTTGAAAACTGAACAACTTTAGGTGGACCTTAAATGGATCTAAAAGTGAATGTTTTAATCACAAATGGCTAGACACTTGAAGAGATAAAATGTATTATTTTGTACTTTATGCATACATATACACTTAATAGTGTATATGGAAAAAAGTATACATAGCTTGGTGTCCAGTTTTATTACCCTGTGGCATGCACACTGACAAAACCTGAATTTAAAGATTACGAGGTACCCCAATACTTTGTCCATATAGTTTGCAGGCCATACATTGTAGAAGTGAAAGTCTTTGACGAATTGTTTGAAAAGTTAGAGCCGGGAAAAAACTTCTCATAAATACTGGAAACAGGAAAGCATTTTCTACAGTATGACTGGATTCTGCTTGACACCTTAAGTTTTGTATGGTCTTTGGAAATGGGATGCAACATGTTACTTACTGATCTTTAACCGTGCTTAAATAGCTGTTTACCTGGGTTTTCGTTTTTATACTAAGAAATGCTGAAGTAGTCCTTGAACAGTGACATTTCCTATTTTACTTCTATACACACAAACTAATGATAAAGGCTCTAGCTTCAGTCATGACGAGGATGATGATGACAATGATGATGGTTTGCTCTCTGTACAGGTGAAGAAGGCTGTAGGAGGATCCATCCGTGGCATGGCTCTTTATGAGGATGATGTAAGACCTTCACATAGATCTCACCACTGTGCATTAGTTAATATACGTATTTAAAAAAATAGAAATTAAAACATATAAGCTACATTTGTGTAAATGTAAAATATATAACATTACACAATTTCAAATAAAAAATCAGGTAATATACTTAAGGCCACTGTTCCTTTTATACTGATGTTACTTATGTTCTTTTATTTGATGTATCTTGCATTTGCTTATTTTCAGGTTTCAGGTTTTTCTGAAGGATGTATGTATATATGCACTGTAGCCTAAAGTAGTTTCTTCAGATTCCCAGGCTTCAGCTCTTATGGTGAAGCCCAGTATTACCACTGCTTACTAACCACTGCTGTGCACTGCCTTTGTGCCAGACAATGACCTGATCACATACTATGTTAATTATATCAGACAGATGTTACTGATCTTTTTTTTTTTTTTTTTTTTTTTTTTTTTTTTTTTCATCAGTTATATTCATTTAACAGCCATGGTAGATCTCACTTTTATCTGTCCCAGTAATCCTTTCGTCTCATGTTATCTTACATAAAACTGGTCTGATGAGTTTCAGTAAGTTATACAGATATCTTACTATGTGATTTTAGGAACAGGACACTTTGCCTCAGTAGATACTCAAATTGTGGTTTATTGTCTTTCAAATAAGGCATGAAAGTGGTTGCATCACTATCCAGGCAAAAACTATGAGGAAGAAAAAAAAAAGTTCAGTAAGAGAAAAACTTCAATGCATATTGGCACTATATAAAAAAATAAACAAAGCAAGAAACATTATGGATGCTGGATACTGCATGCATCCTTTTGTGAGATGAGCTGAAAATAGAGCTCTTTGATCACAGTGGCACTGCTTATGTTTAGTGAAACAAGGAAGTGGCACACAACCCAAAGACAACTATCCACATTGTGAAACACACTAGGAGTACACTAAGAGTATTATACTGTGGGGATGCTTCAATGCGTCTGGAACAGAGAATCTTGTCAAGGTGGAAGGAATCATGAGGAAAAAATAATATGTGAAGATTTGTGTAAAATCTGTGGGGTGCCCGAAGACCAAGATCTATGCTGAAGACCATCAAATGTGGAGGAACTTATTTAACAGAACTTACTTTAAAAAGAAAATTTCATAAGGGGGTTCATAGTTTTATCCTCATTTGTACTTCTAGTTACATCTCAGACAGATGCAAATTCTCCAGCCATCGCGGAGTAAAACATAGGTCCTAGGACAGAACCCTGTGGAACTCCATGGTGAACTTTTGGGTAGAGATTTATCCCAGTGACATATGTTAGTGTGTTTACTACAAAGACAAATTTGTTGAAATAGTTTTCATTTATTTATGTTAAAGTTATTTGGTACATGTCACTTACGCATATGTGTTCACAGCTGAAAGAAGTTGAAAACTCAGAGGAGAGGGGCCGTATCTTGATATCATTGATGTACAGCAGCCAGCACAGTCATTTGATAGTAGGTGTGGTCCGGTGTGCTCACCTGGCTGCCATGGACTCCAATGGATACTCTGACCCGTTTGTCAAAGTGTATGTGTTTTTTCCAGCTGTATCTGCACTAATGTCACTACATATATAAACTCTCTATGACAGTGGGGAAATCCTTTTTTCATTTGTTTGTTTTTTTGCTTAGCTTTGCTAAGAATTGGACAAAAGTATCAGTAACACATCTTGCCTCCTCAGTAAATATGAAGCTGGAGTGACAGTTTCTTAAGTTAACTAGCCTAGACCCGTCAAAGTTAAAAATATGCAATAAACTCAAAATAGACTTCTGATTATGATTATCACTGCTAATCTGACTTAACTGTTGAAATGTGCTTTGTTAACATTTAAATAGATGTTAAATTTTCAAGCAAAGTCAGTGAGCTCAACAAAGCAAATAAACATTCCCAGAAATCTTGAACTTCATTCCCAAGGGATGGCATTTTACCTTTGTTGTTCTGTCCTCTTTGATAGATGTCTCAAGCCAG